CAGTAGTATACTCTGTTCTAGTTTTTAAATCTCCTCCAGTTTTCCATAACGGAGTAGTTGGAATTTGTCTCATTGAACATCATTTTTGTTTACCGTTGCCCACTGGAAAAATTTTGTTTATATCTTCTTGGAGGTTAACCGCGTCTCAGCAGATGACAGCCTTATGCAGATCCTAGTATCATCCGCAAAGGATGATACGGTGCTGTGGTGTATATCTCTGTTTATGTCTGATATGAGATAAGGAATAAGATGGGGGCGAGTACTGTGCCTTGTGGAACAGACTCTTCACTATGAACCATCCCCCCGGCCGGGATTGAACCCGCTTTGGCAGCCTCCGATTTAACTCTGTTGACCACTACTTTTTGTTTTTCGATTTGTTAGGAAGTTGAAGATCATCTCCCCACTTTCCCAGTTATTCCTTTAGCACGTATTTTATGGGCTATTACGCCATGATCGCATTTGTCAAATGCTTTGCAAAGTCTGTGATTATTACATCTGCATTCTGATTTTCTTCCAGTGCTCCAAGGCCATGTCTAAGTGATCCAGTAGTTGTGAGGGGCAGGAGCGACCTGCCCTGAACCCATGTTGCCCTGGATTGTGCAGTTTTTGGGAATCCAGGTGATTTGCAATCCTGTTTTCTTAGCACTCTTTCAAAGTTTTTTTATGATGTGGGATGTCAGAGCTATTGGTCTATAGTTCTTAGCTTAATGTTTGCTGCCACCTTTATTGGAGTGGGGCTATATCCGTTGTTTTAAGTGACTGTGGAATTTCACCCCATGTCCAAGCTCCTCCTCCATAGTGTACTTAGGGCACGCGAGAGGGGTTTCTTGCAGTTCTTAATGAAAACAGAGTTCCACGAGTCTGGGCCCGGGCTGAGTGCATAGGCATGTTGTCAATGGCTTTTTCGAAATCTATCGGAGTTAGGGTAATGTCGGAAATCTGGCATACATTTATGGAGTTTTGAGGGGTCATTCATGAAAGAAATCATTTGGGTCGTCGATCCTCAGACCGATTAGTGGTTCACTAAACACAGAGTCGTACTGGGATTTCAAATATTCACTCATTTCCTTGTTGTCTGTGTAAGTCCCATCCTGTCTGAGTAAGGGGCCCGATACTAGATGTGGTATTTGCCTTGTTTTTGGCATATGAAAAGAAATATTTTGAATTTCTTTCAATTTCACTAATAGCTTTAAGCTCCTCCTGCCTCTCCTGGTTCCTGTAAGAGCATTTAGCTTAAGTTCGATAGTTTCCACTTCCCCGGTCAGCGCCTCCCTTGTGTATCAGATATTCTAGCACTCCTGAGGAGCTCAGTGACTCTTCGTCGTCTTCTGTAGAGGGAGCGTCTTTTTCTCTCCAGTTTACTCCTGCTCTTCTTCTTTCTTAGGGGAAATGCCCAGAACATGCCCTTTGGCTACCAGGCAGTTTATCCTTTCAAGGCACTGGTTTGGGTCCATGTCATTTAAGACATCTTCCCAACATGTTTCGTTTAGGACATGGTTTACCTGGTCCCAGTTGATGTTCTTGTTGTTGAAATTTTATTTTGTGAAGACACCTTCACAGGTACATGCATTCTGTTGTTCAGGACCCCTATGCATGTACGTCTGGACTTCGATTAGATTGTGATCGGAATTAGTTGTTTTTGATATTCTTTGTCTCTTATCAGGTCCTCATTATTTGTGAAGATAAGGTAAGTGTGTTTTCTAGTCTTGTTGGCTCCACTATCTGCTGGGTTAAGGTGTGTTTTTCGCAGAGACTTGTAGCTCATGTGTGTGTGACCTTTCATCTGCGCTACCTCCGGGGATTGTTTCAGCTATAACATTATTTGCTACATTCTTCCATTTTGTATGCCTTAGGTTGAAATCACCAAGCAGTAAGATGTTTGGGGATGGAGCTGGAAGGTTTTCCAAACAGTAATCGATTTTCAGTAGCTGTTCCTTGAACTGTTGGGAGGTTGCATCTGGTGGCTTGTATACAACCACAATGACTAGGTTTTGGTTCTCGATCTTTATTGATAGAACTTCAACTACCTCATTTGTGGTGTTCATCAACTCCGTGCAGATAAGGGACTCTTTGACATACAGGCCAACCCCCCCTTGTTGCCTGTTTTTTCTGTCGCATCTAAAAAGGTTGTAACCACTTATCCTTATTTCACTGTCAAAGTGATCTTTTGTGTGAGTCTCTGTGAAGGCTGCAAACATTGCATTAGACTCCACTAGAAGTCCACTGATAAAAGGTATTTTGTTGTTGGTGGATGGCTTAAGGCCCTGTATATTAGCAAATATGAACGAGGTTGTATTCTGTGTTTGTTGGTATGGTTTTACCGCCCTCGCGTTATATACAATCACTCCATGATCACATTTCTCAAACGTTTTTGCGGAATGCTTGTACACCGCATCCGTGTTTGGGTTTTCTTCTAACGCTTCTGTAATTGTCCTAGTAGCTTAGTAGCTGTGACAAACATGATCTTTCTACTCGAAACTCATCCTGGTTTGGGTTGTGTAGGTTATGCTGGCCATGAAGTTTGTAATCTGATATTTCATCACTCTTTGAAAGACTTTTACGGTGTGTGTGACGCTAGTGCTACTGATCTGTAATTTTTGGCAAAGTGCTCTGCTAGCCAAAGATGATCCGGGAGCTTCATAGCACATTGAAAGAGGCCCATTGAAACTAAATTTGTTGAACTTCAACATGTCATAACGCATTTTTTTTTAACCATGGGCTTCATTCAGCGCTCTGGCGCCACCCTGGGCTTCATTCAGCGCTCTGGTGCCACCCTGGGCTTCATTCAGCGCTCTGGTGCCACCCTGGGCTTCAGCCAGCGCTCTGGCGCCACCCTGGGCTTCAGCCAGCGCTCTGGCGCCACCCTGGGCTTCAGCCAGCGCTCTGGCGCCACCCTGGGCTTCATTCAGCGCTCTGGCGCCACCCAGGGCTTCATTCAGCGCTCTGGCACCAATCTTGGTGCAGCTATTGTAGCACAAATATATAAAGACTTGGAGAGCACTCAGCTCCGACCTTTATACCTCGTGAAACGCTACTCTCACTTTCATAAACGTGGTGGTGATGGTTTATTTTTACGATAAACTTGGTGATAGTTTATTAGTCAGGAAATAAGTTTTGTTCTAAAACGGGTCTTAGCCACATGGCCCGAAAACTCGACGTCTGGGTTGTATGACAGACCTTCCGTTAGTTTACTGGTCCACTCGGTTAAAATAACCCACTGATATAATGTGATGAGGTACCTGAAACTGGTGCAGCAAAATTCACGTAAACATCTTAATTTATTTCACCATTAACTCGTTCGTCGCGTTCCTCTTCTCAACTGCTTTGAGACTAAAGAAATACTTGGTAACAGCCCTATGGCTCTAATGTATTTCAACCTTCAATCGCGCGCTCTGCATGCTGTCAACACCATCTGTCCTCCAAGGTTGTATTCAGTGTCTCCTACTTTGCACTTAACATGACTGAATTCAAGTAGCCACTTTCTTAGTTAATTAGGCGTACATAATTCTAGCTACAGCAGCGAAGTTATGCTCGCAGTGTCTCGTCTTTGGTGTTTGATTTATCGTATATTTAAGTGTCCAGCGAATGTAACCATTGTCTTGTGAAGTATTTCATTGTTCTACTGCTAAGTGCAGATTTGCGTGTACGTGTTGACCTGTGTGTGTTTCAGCTTTGGCTAAGACAAAAATAGCCGCACAGGAGTGTCGGGCATTACAATTGTGTTAGGAAATCTGTGTCGTAGTGCGTTGTGTGAGGCGGCTGTAGTGAATATCAACACCGGATGTTACATCACACTATCGCGCCACCTGCTGCTGCCCTGCCTAGTTCCTCTGACACTTGTTACATCTAGTTGACATGGATGGTACCTCTAACACACTGTAAATATAAACACTTAAGCAGCATAATGTGATCCTTTGATAACGTTTCGACCACCCAGTGAGGTTTATCAAGTTGCAAACAGATCTACTTGGGTGAAAGGTACAAGAGTATTTATAGGATGGAGTCAGGTGGAGAATGCTGCATGTGACCATCTTCCGAGTAGGGTGATGGAGTCTAGGACTTGGGTAGCTTTAAAAAGAAGTTGGACAAGTGTACGAATAGACCTTCTGCAGTGTTCCTCTATTCTTATGTTCTGATGTGGGATAACGATGAAGAAGTTTCTTGGCAAGGTGTTCAGCTATGTTAAAGAAGCCGTTGTTCTGTATAATGGATATACAGATAAGTGATGGTTCCAGGATTCTTTGGTATTGAGAGTTGTCTTCTCTGGCGATAAGTCCTGGATGTCAGTGTCGATTTGTGAAAGCTTCTAAGGCGAAGATGTGATAAATTAATTTTATTTGAGTTAATGTCTGTGGTGTCTCTTTTTACAAATTTTCAGTGGTTAAATAGAAAGAAACTGGGGAGGCAGAACATTAATCGCATTTACCTTGTATGTATGTATGTATGTATATATTTTATATATATATATATATATATTATATATATATATATATAATAAATATATTATATATTATATATATATTTTATATATATTATATATATATATATATATATATATAATATATATATATATATATATATATATATATATATATATATATTATATATATATATATATATATAATTGTGGTGTTATAATTGGTTATTTTTTATGGGGAAATGACAACCTAACATAACGTAAAAATCTGCTGCAAACTGTGAGAAGTCTACATAGATGCTCATGGTGCGATTTACTAGGATGGGTTTATTATGCACCCCAATGAAAATAAGTCACTTTAACCTTTTTTTGGGGCTATGCTAGGTAATTTACAAGTTAAACTGTGTCTACCTATTTACTATGTGTAGGCGTGTTTTTGGCTTGAGGCACGATGCAGGTTGTATCGGAACACTTAACCGAATCAGCACTAGTGATTAGTCTGTTTTGGAGTGGTGTTGGGGGGAATACACACTGCACCATACATGATAAAGCCTGATTCTAAATGGTAATGAATGTGTTGCAGGTGATCCGTGATGCTGAGAAGTTGTCCCAGCGCATGTCTCATCGTGGCGCCTGCTCCTGTGACAATGACACAGGTGATGGTGCTGGGCTCATGGCTGCCATCCCTCACCATTTCTATAAGCAGCTCGTCTGGTAAGTTTTAAATCATTCTCAATCCACTTCGTACACACCACATGGCAATCTACATGACTAATTCATGTACATAACACGTGGCAGCATAGTGCTGTCGTGCAAGCGTAAAACTGAGGCTTTTCAAAAGTTTGGCATTCTAACAGGATTTCTAGTACAGTAAGTCCTCGCTTAACGCCGTCAGTAGGTTCTTGGAAACTGGGACTTAAAGCGAAACGAGGTGTAATGAAACCAATTTTACCATTAGCTAATTGATATCAACATCACAATGCACATTGCACCTTTAGCATTCATTGCAACAAGGTTAAATCAAGGAATACATGTTTGCAGAGCGAAAATTGTAAGGAGCACCACCTAACACCAGGCAGTTCAAAAACAAATAAATAAATATGGCGGGGCGCACTCACACCCACACTCATACTGGGACAATTTAGACACGCCAGTTAACCTAAGGTGCGTATCTTAGGGTTGTGGGAGGAAACCGGCTTACCTGGAGAAAACCCATGCAGACATTAGTTATTACAACTGCTACAATTGCCCGTATTCGACTGAAGAAGCGTGCTGTGCAGACGAATAGTTTCTGCAATAAAGATAAGTAAATGTTGCACATGTCTTGGTCGATCCTCTGCCTGTTTAACTCTATCCCTCCGACCTTCTGCAGGATCACACTGGTATCCTTGGCGCTCCGCTCGACATGAACGTGCAAACTCCACACACAGTGGGCCTCCGGCCGGGAATAATTTTCTTTCTCAACGTCGTTTCGTTATAACGTTAATAAATGAGAATTTGATGTATTTTTCTCTCGCGTGAGGATGCAAGGTGACAGGTAAATATTGCAAACTTTTGTTAATAATTAATATATATATACTTTTCAAGTAACTTTCCCTGTAATATTTCCTTGGCCTGGTCTGGGACCGAGCTGCAGGCGTGATGATCCTCAGAACTATTAGAAAATGACCATTTGCCCCCCTACAAGCGTATTCTTGAGAAGAGAGGAATTGATCTGCTTTATACTGTAATGGGACGGTTTTGACCTTGTATTCATTCGGTGATTCGTGCAGGAAGCTTTCATTCAGCAGTGCAGGTTTTCACCCAGAACTTTTCACTCTGGGGTGCACTGCGAGGTCTGGTCATGGACCGGGCCGCGGGGGCGTTGAATTTTGGAATAACCTCCAGTATCGTTCAGAATGTTACCGCTGAGACTAGTCATTCCCGTATCAAGGCATGCGTAGGTTCACTCGGTTAGTGAATAGACAGTTAAAGCTCGGCCGTGTATTGTGCAGGAGTGTATGGATACAGTGAGTTAAACATACACACGCTACCACTCCAGGATCTGAACTGACCTGACCTGGCTCCGATGTCCAGTGGCTGACGCATCCGTAGCGTCTGTCTATAAGAGAAAATATTAAATACACACTAGGCGGTTACGAAGCGGACTCTACACGCACCAATACAACGAAGACTCCGCGAGTGAGCCGTGCGCAGACTTTCAGCGAGTGAGCCGTGCGCAGACTTTCAGCGAGTGAGCCGTGCGCAGACTTTCAGCGAGTGAGCCGTGCGCAGACTTTCAGCGAGTGAGCCGTGCGCAGACTTTCAGCGAGTGAGCCGTGCGCAGACTTTCAGCGAGTGAGCCGTGCGCAGACTTTCAGCGAGTGAGCCGTGCGCAGACTTTCAGCGAGTGAGCCGTGCGCAGACTTTCAGCGAGTGAGCCGTGCGCAGACTTTCAGCGAGTGAGCCGTGCGCAGACTTTCAGCGAGTGAGCCGTGCGCAGACTTTCAGCGAGTGAGCCGTGCGCAGACTTTCAGCGAGTGAGCCGTGCGCAGACTTTCAGCGAGTGAGCCGTGCGCAGACTTTTAGTTGTGCGGGAACCTTTTACTCTGCGAGTCAATAATTGACATTCGCCCGGAGAGTTGTGCAGAAATTTCAGGAAATTAATGTAGTAGTATAGTCAGAAATTGCATGAAGTTGTTACTGGACGTATAATTAGCACTAACTATAAATATTTAGTAAGGATAATTATATTCGGGAATAACTAGAAAATGGTATGGCAGGGGGCAGAGGAGTGTATGGTATGGCAGGGGGCAGAGGAGTGTGTGGTATGGCAGGGGGCAGAGGAGTGTGTGGTATGGCAGGGGGCAGAGGAGAGTGTGGTATGGCAGGGGGTAGAGGAGAGTGTGGTATGGCAGGGGGTAGAGGAGAGTGTGGTATGGCAGGGGCAGAGGAGAGTGTGGAATTGTGGCAGGGGGGCAGAGGAGAGTGTGGTATGGCAGGGGGCAGAGGAGAGTGTGGTATGGCAGGGGGCAGAGGAGAGTGTGGTATGGCAGGGGGGCAGAGGGAGAGTGTGGTATGGCAGGGGGCAGAGGAGAGTGTGGTATGGCAGGGGGCAGAGGAGAGTGTGGTATGGCAGGGGGCAGAGGAGAGTGTGGTATGGCAGGGGGCAGAGGAGAGTGTGGTATGGCAGGGGGCAGAGGAGAGTGTGGTATGGCAGGGGGGCAGGGAGGAGTGTGGTATGGCAGGGGGCAGAGGAGAGTGTGGTATGGCAGGGGGCAGAGGAGAGTGTGGTATGGCAGGGGGCAGAGGAGAGTGTGGTATGGCAGGGGGCAGAGGAGAGTGTGGTATGGCAGGGGGCAGAGGAGAGTGTGGTATGGCAGGGGGCAGAGGAGAGTGTGGTATGACAGGGGGCAGAGGAGAGTGTGGTATGGCAGGGGGCAGAGGAGAGTGTGGTATGGCAGGGGGCAGAGGAGAGTGTGGTATGGCAGGGGGCAGAGGAGAGTGTGATATGGCAGGGGACAGAGGAGAGGTGGTATGGCAGGGGGCAGAGGAGAGTGTGGTATGGCAGGGGGCAGAGGAGAGTGTGGTATGGCAGGGTGCAGAGGAGAGTGTGGTATGGCAGGGTGCAGAGGAGAGTGTGGTATGGCAGGGTGCAGAGGAGAGTGTGGTATGGCAGGGTGCAGAGGAGAGTGTGGTATGGCAGGGTGCAGAGGAGAGTGTGGTATGGCAGGGTGCAGAGGAGAGTGTGGTATGGCAGGGTGCAGAGGAGAGTGTGGTATGGCAGGGTGCAGAGGAGGAGAGTGGCAGAGGCAGTGGGCAGGGAGAGAGTGGCAGGGGCAGTGGGCAGAGGAGAGAGTGGCAGGGCAGTGGGCAGAGGAGAGAGTGGCAGGGCAGTGGCAGAGGAGAGAGGGCAGGGCAGTGGGCAGAGGAGAGAGTGGCAGGGCAGGGGCAGAGGAGAAGAGTGGCAGGGCAGGGGGCAGAGGAGAGAGAGTGGCAGGGCAGGGGGCAGAGGAGAGAGTGGCAGGGCAGGGGGCAGAGGAGAGAGTGGCAGGGCAGGGGGCAGAGGAGAGAGTGGCAGGGCAGGGGGGGCAGAGGGAGAGGAGTGGCAGGGCAGGGGGCAGAGGAGAGAGGTGGCAGGGCAGGGGGCAGAGGAGAGAGTGGCAGGGCAGGGGGCAGAGGAGAGAGTGGCAGGGCAGGGGGCAGAGGAGTGTGGTAGGGCAGGGGGCAGAGGAGAGAGTGGCAGGGCAGGGGAGCAGAGGAGAGAGTGGCAGGGCAGGGGGCAGAGGAGAGAGTGGTAGGGCAGGGGGCAGAGGAGTGTGGTAGGGCAGGGGCAGAGGAAAGGACAGTCACAGTACCGTGACTGGAACAATACACAAATAACCTGCACATACGAGAAGCTTACGACGACGTTTCGGTCCGACTTGGGGCATTTAAGTCAGACTAACATTTAGTGAGGGAGTATATATAGGCGTGGGAGCAAGGGACGCAATAGAGAGGAAGACAAACTAGTGGTAGTAGTGGTAATTATGCTGGTAGTAGTGTTAGATTGGGCAAATATTCTGTGGGATGGATTGTGAAGAACCTGTCTAGTATGGGCCAACAGGCCTGCTGCAGTGTTCCTCCTTGAAGATTGAGACACTTATACAACATATGGGAATCTTCATTATGGAAACGTTTCGCCACACAGTGGCTTCATCAGTCCAATACAAAGCAGAGAGGAGTAAGGAGTAGTAGTAGTTTTAGGTAATCAGTCGCTCAGTTTGGAATCGGTGTTCAGTCCATCACTCTTGTAGAAAGTACAACATATGGCCGGAGAATTGGCTTGCATACTGTAGTCAGGAGAGTCGAAGCAGGAGGAGGCTAGATCACAGTGGAAGCATCCACTAGTGTAAGTAGGTCTTCGTCCAAAGTTTGGACAAGTATTGAAGAATTCCTTGTATCAGGTTCCCATGTTGTTGCAGTGTCAGACAGATGTGCTTTCTACAAGAGTGATGGACTGGACACATCGATTCCAGGCTAAGGGACTGATAACCTCAAACTACTACTCTCCTTACCCCTCTCTGCTTTGTATTGGACTGATGAAGCCACTGTGGCGAAACGTTTCCTTAATAAAGATTCCCATATGTTGAACATTAAAATGGTATAAAATACCGACAGGTTGTTAGGTAAGACACATATGCAACAGTTAGGTATCTTTATTATGAAACGTTTCGCCTACACAGTAGGCTTCTTCAGTCAAGTACAGAAAAGTTGATAGAAGCAGAAGATACTTGAAGACGATGTAATCAGTCCATCACCCTTAAAGTTTTGAGGTGGTCAGTCCCTCAGTCTGGAGAAGAGCATTGTCCCATAGTATGAAACAATATGGAGATGAAGTGACAGAATGGAGCTTTTTATAGCGCCAAGAGGTGAGACGTTATAAAAAGCTCCATTCTGTCACTTCATCTCCATATTGTTTCATACTATGGGACAATGCTCTTCTCCAGACTGAGGGACTGACCACCTCAAAACTTTAAGGGTGATGGACTGATTACATCGTCTTCAAGTATCTTCTGCTTCTATCAACTTTTCTGTACTTGACTGAAGAAGCCTACTGTGTAGGCGAAACGTTTCATAATAAAGATACCTAACTGTTGCATATGTGTCTTACCTAACATTCCCATATGTTGCGGAAGTGTTTCAATTTTCAACATGTCGGTTTTAATACTATTTTTCACACTACCAGCATTACC